TGTCTTCCTCCTCCTCTTTAGTTCCTTCTTCTTCCTCCTTCATGTCTCCCTCTTCTTCTTTTGTTCCTTCTTCCTCCCCCTCTTTTATTTCTTCCTCCTCCTTCATGTCTTGCTCCTCATCTTTAGTTCCTTCTTCCTCCTCCATGTCTTCCTCTTCTTCTTTTGTTTCTTCCTCCTCTTCTTTTGTTTCTTCCTCCTCCTTCACTTCCATGTCTTTTGTTTCTTCTTCCTCCTCCTTCACTTCCTCTTCCTCTTCTTCTTTTGTTTCTTCCTCATCCTCCTTCACCTCCTCCTCATCTTTTGTTTCCTCTTCCTCCTTCTCTTCTTTTGTTTCTTCCTCCTCCTCCTTCACTTCCTCCTCATCTTTTGTTCCTTCCTCCTCCTTCATGTCTTCCTCTTCTTCTTTTGTTTCTTCCTCAGCCTCCTTCACTTCCTCCTCATCTTTTGTTTCTTCTTTCTCCTTCTCTTCTTTTGTTTCTTCCTCATCCTTCAATTCCATGTCTTTTGTTTCTTCTTCCTCCTTCTTCACTTCCTCTTCCTCTTCTTCTTTTGTTTCTTCCTCAGCCTCCTTCACTTCCTCCTCATCTTTTGTTTCTTCTTTCTCCTTCTCTTCTTTTGTTTCTTCCTCATCCTTCAATTCCATGTCTTTTGTTTCTTCTTCCTCCTTCTTCACTTCCTCTTCCTCTTCTTCTTTTGTTTCTTCCTCAGCCTCCTTCACTTCCTCCTCATCTTTTGTTTCTTCTTTCTCCTTCTCTTCTTTTGTTTCTTCCTCCTCCTTCTTCACTTCCTTCTCCTCTTTTGCTTCTTCCTCCTTCTTCACTTCTTCCTCCACTTCGTCTTTTGTTTCTTCCTCTTCCTCCTTCACTCCCTCTTCCTCCTCTTTTGCTTCTTCTTCCTCCTTCATGTCTTTCTCCTCTTCTCTTTCTTCCTCCTTCTCACTCATTTCCTCCTCCTTTATTTCCTCTTCTTCCTCCTCTTTTGTTTCTTCCTCCTCCTCTTTCACTTCCTTTTCCTCCTCCTCCTCTTCCTCCTCTTTTATTTCTGCTTCCTCCCTTGTTTCTTTTGCTGCTTTCTCTTCTGTTTCCTCCTCATCTTCGACCTTAATCATTTCTTCTTTCTCCTCTTCCTCCTCTTTTGCTTCCTCTTCTTCTTTTTCTCTGTCTTTCATTTCTTCCCCCACTTCTGTTTCTTTCTTTTCTTCTTCTTTGGTTTCTTCATCTTCCATCTCACAGTTTTGACTCTCTGATATTTCAGGTCTTTCTCCATCTCCATTCAACATTGAGCTGCCCACTTCACTTAATTCTGGCTCCTTTTCTTCATTGCCCTCCATTTCTGTTTCACTTGGCTGAAGTTCACCTTCATCATTGTCCTCTTTTGGATTGCCATTTTCTGCTGCTTCTTTCACAGAACTGCTGGGAACCATTTTGATGTCCTGGGCTGCTTCTGAGACACAGGCTTCCTCATTATCATTTTTCTTCAACCTCAGGATTTGCTGTAAATCAAATGCTGTCATGACTGGGGCATTGGTGGCCACCACTGGGTTTCTTGTGGGCTTGGAAGCCATTTTTTTCCTCACACAAGAGTCACATGGGCAGTATTCCTCCTCACTTGTTTGGTTACTAATACTGGCCTCAAGAGCTTCACTAAATGCTGTATCTTCATCTACATCAAATGATAAGACTGATGCATCCTCTAGCATATTCTGGGTTCCACTCTTGTCACTGAAGAGTGATTTTTTATGCATAGTCTGCAATCGCCGTCTCCTCTGCTCAGTTTGGAGTGTTGACTCACGCTTGAGTGGTTCATCTGGAGGTCTTGGTGTCGTCTTCCCTGCTCTGGCTTTGATCTTCCTCAGCTCCTTCTCTATGCTTTTCTGTATCCTTTTACTCACTTCCTCCTTCAGCTCTAGTATCATTTCATCCATCTCCTGGTTGTTCTGCAAGTTCCACCTGACTTTGAACTCATTCATGGCACTGACATAGTGAGCCATGAACTCCTTCTCAATTTTCTTGAGCAGTCTCAGGACCCAGATTGGATCCGGATCCACTGAGTGTTGCTGGACAAGGGATGTGCCCACACTGGTGGCCATATCGACTTTGGGCTCTAGGTCGTCTGGAGACTGTTTTTCAAGCTGCTCTTCCAAATCATCTTTCAGTTCTGTCCCACAATCAACATCGTTGACATTTTTATCATCAGTAGTGGCTAGCTGATCAGCTTTCTCTTCAAGATTTTCTTTTGTGTGTTGATCACTCGCAGCTTCAGCTTCTTGTTCCCCATTTTCAGTTAATTTGCTGTTTTCTTCATTTTCATTTTCTTTCCCTTCCTCCTGACCATTTTCACATTTACTGTACTGATTCTCCTTATTCTCTTCTGCCTCTTGAATTAGGGAGACCTCTCTAATAGACTGTGCTTTTTCCTCACCTTTTGATTTTGAGCAGGCTGTCGAAGGTCGGGGTGAATGCTCTTCCTCTTTACTTTGCTCCTCAGCCTCAGTCAGTTCCGTTCCAGTCTCTACATTTTCCAGCTGTCCAGCTGATTTGATTTCAGCAGCTTTCTGTGCCATTAAAGTGCAGTTCCTGGCACCAGCTGTACTCTCTTCTCCTGAGCCACCAGAACCACTGCTAACATCAACCCCAGAAGAAGACATGGGAGTGAAGTCATAATCTCCAGATTTTTGGGCTTTAAACCCAGAAGCTGCCTCTGCCTGCTCACTTGCCTCTTGACCTGAACTTGGGCCACTTTTTTCAGCTGTGCACCCAAGCCACAGGGTTTGAAAAATATTTAGCAGTTCCATATACCTTGACTTATTCAAAGTCTTTGATTTATCTGATGGATCTTCTGACTCTTCATCAAGGAGCTGGAGGCTGGCAAGACAAGTAATCAAAATGTTGGCAGAGTTACTCAGTTTTCTCCCCATAGTGGGAGACACTTCAGGCAAACTGTTTGATCGATCAAATTTTGTTTCATGTTTTGAACTGAGCAAGGCCTTCATGATCTGCACAGAATTCTGGACAGAGGTTGGCAGGTCTCTTCTGTCATTATTTTGGCTAGATGCAACTGACTGGCTGCATTCTGCCTGGTCGGCCTTGGCAGCTTCGGACACAACCTGAGAGATTTGTTCCCGATTGACTGATTCTTCATCATCTTCATTAATAGCAGTTCCTTCTGCTGTCTGTTTTCCCATTTCATCCTTTGCCTCATTTTCAGCCTCCTCCACATTATTTTTCTCAACTTTTTCATCCTCTGAGATTTCCTCAGCATTTGGACTGTGTGGTACCTCAATGGTTGCTTGTACACATTCCTCTTCTGCATCATGCTCCATTTCATATTTTATAAGCAATGTTTCTGAAGGGATTTTACTTAACCATTCTTGCACAACTTCTTCTGGAGATGTATTTGGTAGGGTAGATGGCATTAAATCACTCCCTTCCTCCTGCATGCCCATGTCTTCTAGCTCTTCCTCCACTTTTCTGTTGCAAGAGTCATCAGTCTCTTTATTCTCCTGATCATTTACTTCAGTTGCAGCTGATTTAGACCCATAGGAAGTTGCTTTGGAGGAATTTATAATTTCTTTCTGCTCTTTTCCTGTAGTCAGCACTGACTCAGTACCTATGCTGCTAATGGAGGAATTCTTCAACATGGTTGACCGTATTTTTTTGCTGCTTGGCTTCCCTTTTGGTGGGGCAGGGCAATGCATGCTACATACCGACAAAGTGTCAGACAATGATGCTCGGCTAGAGTTTGACATCTTCACACAAAGATTTCTAGTTTTTACCTGCCTCGATTTTGAAGACTGAGATATGTTTGATTGTGAACACCTACTATCACTTTCCTGGGATATCTGTGTCAATAAGCATTTCTCTTTTACTTCTGACTTTGAAGAGACTCTTGAAGAGATGCTTGCAGGATTTCCATTCCCAATGGCAATCTCAGCTGAGAGGTCACCTTTTGAACATATACTCTCACTCATACTTCCTTGTCTTGAAGTGGCCTCTGAATTCATCTTGGAATGACCCTCTCCAGGTTTTCCATTAGGGCTCGAAACACTTGAGCAGAGGGATGATGGCATGCTATTTTCTTCTCTACGGCTTCTCTTCTTTGAGCCTTTTGAGGATTCACTGTAGCCATTGGTGGTACTTTTCAAGCTTTTCTCATCAGTAAAACCTGCAATTGCCCCTGCTTCACTAGTAGATGAAATGTTTGAGTGAAAAGAATCTGAGTTATGAGACATGGGGTCTCCAATAGATTTTTTCTTGATTTCACATGAGCTTTTGGAATAATTAGACGCCCTGCTGCATGATCTCAGGTCATCTGCATGTAGGGAATTCTTTTTTTTATTTGGAGCGGATTCAAGTGAAGACACAGACATTTCAGACTGTGCATCCAAATGAATATGGCTGTGTTTGCTCTTTTTGGATCCTCTGGAAGAGCAAGAGGCATTGCACAGAACAATCTCATCAACACCTGAACTCTTGCTGTTCCTGTCACTAGCTCTGGAATGGGGGGTTCCTGGTGTGGAGCATCGTTCACCTTCACTGCTCTCATCTCTAATTGATTGGCTGGGCTTTGTTTTTGCTGACACTGAGCTGACTTCATTGTTTTCATTTTCTTCTTGTTCTGCTTCAACCTCTTCAACCTCTTTCTTAGTGCAAGACTCACTGGAAAAGGAAGGGACCACTACATTGTTGTCAGAGTGGTCATCCTGTTCACTCTTTGCTCTAGGTGGACTACAGTTACTAGACTTGCTCTGCACACTGTTGGCAGGAGTGGAGCACCTAGTGTTATCTTCTTGATTTGCCTTCTGAAGGCTAGAGGAGGACATGCTCCTACCCATGCTACTTGTTTCCTCACATACATTCTTCTTGCTCTGTCTGGACTGCAGAGATGACCTGGACATGACACTGCCAACTCTGCTGCTTTCAACCTCTTCCACATCATCCTTTAAGCATTTCACCGAGGAAACTTCAAAACAATTTTCATCTTCATTTTGTGAATTGGTTTTGCTGGCCTCATGGTCTTCAGGGGCATCTTGAGTATCCAGGTTGTTTTCACAGCTTGAATGTGACATTAAGCCCAAGGATGAACGTCTATGACTATTGCTCGTGCTTGTCCGAGTGTATTCTTGCTGGTCTCCTCCATTGGAAGCACCTGTAGACAAATCACTTTGACATGTACACTTTTTAATGGGTCGACCTGCCACTCTCTTCTCTATGGTCTCTGAGTAGGATGAGGACTCTTGCACAATGTGCTCAGAGAATTCCTCACTGGATGTGGTGTGGAGGCTATCCATAGAAGCCATTTTTTTGTGGACTACTCTCCTCCGGGAAGATGTGCTGGAACATGATGACCATGTGTGCCAGGTGCTTCGTACACTGGGCTCTTCCCTCTGGGATATGTGCATGGGATTTTTCCAAATGTCATAGTCCTGGTGTTTCTTGCCACAGCTATGACAATGAGCCTCATCGCATTCTGATTCCTCAAGTTTTGACATGTAAGAATCAATATCACAGGGATATGATGACTCATCTGCCTCAGAGCTGCCTTCTGGGTTCATTTTCTGTGTGGGGTCTACTCCACTGTCCTCTACACCTGACTCTTCACAAGGCATCTGATTCATCAGATTGGACTTTTTGATCTGGGTAGACCATTGCAAAGTCTCATCATTTAGCAAGCGGAAGCGAACTTTCATCTCAACAGACAGGCTACCATCCTTGTTCACATGTACACGTTTTTCTATGTCATCATTGACCAAGGAATGGACCAGGTCCCCAGGTTTTGGATGCGAGCAACTGTTTGAGAAAGGTGCGCCGTTATCTGGTGAGGCAGCGAGACCATTAGGATATGACTTTTCTGATGATAAAGAAAATCTCATTGACCTATTGCTTGATGATGTGCGTGGATGGATAACACTCTTTTTGGCTTTCAGTCCAAAGTTCACTGGTGTTTGAAATAGGTAAAGAAAAGAAAGATGGAGAGAAATGTTAACTCATATAAAGAGTTGATGTATCTATAAAATATATAGATCAAACCCTCAAACTAATGAATACTGATATTATTGCATTAAAGCTAAGTCTATGCTGGTTTACATAATTTGAAAATTTGGCTTGGAGTAAGTGATGGCCATAGAATGTGAAGTTTTGCATGAACAGTCTGTATTAATTGACTATTAATTGACTATTAATCTAAATTGAAACGCAAACACTTTTTTTGTTGTTTTATGTGCATACCAGAAAGAAAAAAAATATATCCAAAGCAATTTAGTCTCAAAGTTTCTGTTTTATCACATTGCAAATATCCCTTTATTTAACTGCACAAGTTTTCATCCTTCTTATTCAGTTGGGGAAAAATACATGGAGAAGTGACTCTCTTCCTTAGTTAGAGGTCAAGTGTCACACATTATTGTGCATCATTGACTTCTCCACTCACACACCAGGAAACATGGGTGTGGCCGTGTAGACCAGAGCAGCACTCAGTCCCTGCAGGGATGTACCACTATGTATAATTATAATGCTTATTAAAACATAAAGAACAAATGGAAAAGGAATGTGCGTGGTGACAGCTACAAAGAGAAATAGTGGTAGTTATAGAAGATTGTGTGTGTCAGTGACAGTAAGGGAATTTTAAGAATTGTAAATCCAAAACATCTCTAGGACCCAGCGCTGTGATCTGCATAGATTTACTGAGGTCCTAGACGCTTCTTTTCAAGCAGAGTATATCACTATCATGCTGTCTTGCAAGATACGCATCTGAATTGTTTCTAATACATATTTTTGGTCAAAGTTTACTTTTATATATATAAACAACCACACACCTCTGTAGGCATATGGATATGCAGCTGAATGGAGGGCATTTTAGGAAGGAAGTGTTGAACAGGGAGCACACCAACCAAGATCAAGAACACATGAAATAGCTTCTATCTAACCACGTTTATGCATTTGAACTGATATATTCGCTTAGTCTCTTGATGGGCAAAGCTTCAGCTTATTCCCACTGCTTCCTCCAGTTTTTTATGCCTCAACCAGTGAGTGTGGGATGCTTCTGTCCTTAAGTTTCTACAACTAGTTGTCAACACATGAACCAACATTTCCTGGCTCCCGGTATTGAAAATGGAGAGAAACAGGTGCACCTCCAGAGCACAATTCATTTCACCCTAAACCAAATCCCTCATATAGATGATATGAATTGCCCTCTGGAAATGGCAAGTTTCTCTCCATAGGCTGCCGAGGGTGGCTGGTTTAATTACCTGTGACCTTAGATGACTCATGATGAAGTGCCTGAGAACTATCATCCTGAATAAGCCACAACATACTCCTTCCTCAGCATAACCTTTCCATAAAAATATGCTTTGTTCCAAAGGGCTACACCGCAGCTGTAACCTGCAGGAGAAATGGAGTCTCCTGCTGACAAAAATAGAGCATCGCCTGATGCAGGCAAATGCAGAAGTGAAGGCATTATATGACAGAGAGACAAGGGGATAGAGGATTCGTGGGAAATCTCAAGGGTTTGGGGAGTCTTGGGGGCAGACACAGGAAAGGAGGGAGTTGTGGAAGGAAAAGGAGACACAGAGATATGAAAGAGGAAGGGAAGTCAGCCAGACACGGGGAGCATGTAAAAGAAAGACTGGAGGGTGTAGGGAGGAAATCCTAGAAGGAAACCAGAGAAAAAGAAGGGGAGGATGGAAAGGCCTGGGAGGCAAAGAGCGGGAAGTACATTCTGCACACGAAATCTGCATGTTGGGACAGTACAATAGGTGCCCGTAACCTCCATGTCGTGGACACAGGCCTGGAGACGACGGTGCAATATGCCCCAGAGATTTTCTTACTTTCATTGTTTTCATTGACATTGTTGCCATTGGAACGGGGAGCCAGGTCAGGCAGCTTCTCCACCGAGTGTTTCCTCAAATTCTCCATCGATACAGGTTTAAACGGCTCCCGGCCGACACACACCAGCACGCTGGGGCAGTGAAGCAGAGCCTGCATGCTATCGATCTAGAAAGAGAAGAGCGAGTGGATCACCATGAGGTGATTATTCCAGGCCTAGAATCAACTGACATTTAGTTGCCACCTAAAGTAAAATAAACATGGTTCTGGAGAACTTCAGGGTCTGGAAGGCTCCATTGCAGTATTCTTCCACTGAAAGAGAGGCTCTGCTATGTTTTAATCAGATCTCCTAAGAGAGGTAAGGGGTGGGAGAGATTGCCTAAGGGAGAAGATATCTCATTTATTACAATGCTTTACATCATCTGGGAAAGTTTTAGGCATAATCAATGTGGTTGTGAGGAAGGGGGTGGAACTGGAATCTGTTCAGTTTCCTTTACAGAGAATGATACTCTTTAATTCTTCCAATTCCTGTATGGGACAGCAATTATTACCTAATAAATGCTACATTCCAGACTGACCATTAGTTCTCTTCCTTCCTCTGCTCCAGGAGGGACAAGGACTGTGACTTCTCCTAATATTACCTCAAATACTGTCTCAAATATTAGCTCAAGTACTGCCTCAATACTGGACAATGTGGGACATTATCCCTCAGTGTGGGAAGTGTCTGTGAAGGACTCTGCCTTCCTCCATGAGAACCCAGGCTTACACACTGCCTCTTCATCTTCACCGCATGACCTGTTGCTGCATTACGCACCAAGTTCTTCATGCCAGCTGCAGCTAGTAACTGGGAGCAGGACTAGACGTGGCAGAAAGTCACTTGTATCCAAATACAACATTTACCTAGGATCTAAAGGAGCAACAGTCAGTCTTGTACATGAGCACTGGCTAGAAAAAGCCTGGACTCCTCTTTCCTCTTGCTTCTGCAATCCCTTATTTGTAAGACTGAAGTTAAGCTCCCACGTAAACCACTTGTTGGCTTCTAAAAGGGTGAGAGGGCTCTCTTGCTGGCTGAGAGAGCTTTAGAGGGGCCAACATCTGGCAGCTTTGTGCTGTCAGGGGTCACAGCATCACAGCACCACAGAATCATTAAGGTTGAAAAAGACCTTTAAGGTCATCAAGTCCAACCATCAACCCAACACCACCATGTCCACTAAACCCTGTCCTGAAATGCCATGTCCACAGGTTTTTTGAACACTTCCACTGATGGTGACTCCACCCCCTCCCTGGGCAGCCTGTTCCAATGCCTGACCACCCTCTCAGTAAAGAAATTTTTCCTAATATCCAATCTAAACCTCCCCTGGCGCAACTTGAGGCCATTTACTCTCGTTCCATTGCTAGTTCCTTGGGAGAAGAGACCAACACCCACCTCACCACAACCCCCTTTCAGGCAGTTGTAGAGAGCGATGAGGGCTCCCCTCAGCCTCCTCTTCTCCAGACTGAACACCCCCAGTTCCCTCAGCCGCTCCTCATCAGACTTGTGCTCCAGACTCCTCCCCCCTTGTTGCCCTTCTCTGGACACGCTCCAGCACCTCAACGTCCTTCTTGTAGTGAGGGGCCCAACACTGAACACAGGATTCGAGGTGCGGCCTCACCAGTGCCCAGTACATGGGCACGGTCCCTGCCCTGCTCCTGCTGGCCGCACTATGTCTGATACTGGCCAGGATGCTGTTGGCCTTCTTGGCCACCTGGGCACACTGCTGGATCATGTTCAACCATGAGCTGGGTCTCCACAATCCAGCTAGGATGTTCCTTCCTCCTCAGACTGCTACATCAGGAGAATATCTCTAGAGCATATGGGGACTCACCAATAAGAAGTGACCATCTTGGGCTACCAAGATGTTAGCTACCACCCGTGGTGGTCTGAGAACTATCTTGCCTGTAAGATGCACCCTGACCTCACTGTGTCACTTAATCATCAGCCCTTTAACTAGCAACGGAGTATGGAAGGGAACAAATCTCAGAGGAGCTGTGATGACAGTTCTGCAGTTGTCACACGTGCCTGGCATAACAGGGCATGAAGGACGGACCTCGTTCTCTAAACATTGCTATAGCAAAGGGATGAAGAATCAGGCCCCCTCCAGAGCCCAAGCCCTCAGTTTGTGAAATGCCTCTGGGGTTTTCTGAGATTCGCTGGTACCACTAGAGCTTTGGGAGGTACTAAGATAGCAGTGCTGGGTCTTGTGCAAATAAGAGGAGGGGGAATGTATGGAGGGTGAATGAACAAGACGGAGACAGATAGAATCACACCCAAGATCCAGTTAAAAGCTTCTGGTAATTTTTCTAACAGTAAAGCATATGGCATCAGCTTTTTAGTGGGTATACACTAAAATCCCATCACCCTCCCATTATTTTTTATTTACTGTTTGCACTGTAATAACGCTTGCGACTTGAGGCCCATTGAGTTTGCTGCTATAAAACCCCACAGTAAAGAGGCTCTGCTCTCTAAAGCTTGCATTAAGCACCACTGTGTGTAAAGCAACAGAACTGCTGAGTCTATGTGATGAGTACCATGAAACAGAAAATAACCCACAAATCACTGTCTGTCTAAGTCTACGGCTTGTCATTTGTCAATAAACCCACTTCTGGTCCACATATTTCTAAAGGGAACATCTTTCTATCTCACTTAAAAAGTTTATAGAAAGCCTATAATTTAATAAATGAAATATTTTAAGTAGGTTTTTTCCACCTGCGTATTTCTCTTCCTTCTCTACTTTCCTGTTCTTATTTCTTTTCTTTTTTATTCCTTTAGTGAGATCTTTTGACCTGTCCTCATACAAGTAGGAAAAAAGTGAGGGTAAAAAAGGAGAAAGAGAAAAGGAAAAAGAGGGAAAGAAGAAAGAAAAATAGACATGAAATAACTTTCAACCCTAACATAAAACAATCGATCTTTAAACCCCCACTAAATTTAGGAACTATTCCTATTTGTAAAGGACATTTTTTCAGTGAAAGCTATTTTTTGCCCAGGACATTTCCTCACATGGTACTGTGTCTGTGTAGAGATACTTCAATCACACTCATCAGCTCTGTGTTGCGTGTGCAGAAAATAGATGGTGCCAATGCCACAGCTTCAGGACTCAATGGAGCTGAGCCAGCCAAGTTATTGAATTTATATGTACTACGCAAACCAAATCCTTTCATCTGGAATACACTTGTGTTATGTGACTTAAAATAAAGAGTCTGTCATAGTATTTCTGGCATCATCAGCTCTTTAACAGTGTTTACACCGATAACATAGCTTTTCTTCCTAATATCTTGCAAACTTAACCTCTTTGAATTAATAGTTGTAGAAATTAATCTAAATTTTGGAAATTAGCACTTTGTAATGCTTCATTGTTAAAAATATTTTGGCAGTCGTAAATACAACTGAATGGTTCCTAAGGGTTAAATAAGTAATTTTTCTTACATTGATTTGGTTTAATGCAACATCCATTCTGTCTGGGCAGTACAGTGCTGTGGAGCTCGGATAATAGTTCATCTCAGTTTGCTCTGCACAGCGCTTTCCTGCACTGCTGCATGAATCCCATCCTCCCAACAACACATCACTGCCTGGGCTATACAGAGGACATCCGTCTTCAGGCCAATCAATATGGCATTTTTTACTAGAGCTAAAATATCTCCAAATAGTATGTCCCCTTTTAGGTGTCTAGCAACTTGCAGCTTGCTCAGCATGTCCCAGGATGAGGTCTACTGCACTGCTTCTCAGATTTGCTTCTTTTAAAAAAAATATTTACAAAATTATTTCTAATGTGGAAGGACAAGATCCTGAACTTGCAGGCATGCCAGTGTCCACTGTTGCTCCTGATTGTGCTGAGTGAAATATTGGCCCCATTTCAACCAGTGGCAGAATTTCCCCCGGCTTTTCTGACGTCTGTATTGTACTGCTTACAACTAGGAAACAATACAAAAACTGGGAGTTTTCTTTTGCTATCTTGCAAGAGAAGTGATCCTGTTCTTCTGCTTGGACGTAAGAACCATGTACATTCTGTCGTTGATTTTCATGCTGGAGGAGGAAACAGGACATCAAGCATAAAATTGGTGAAGTAGTTTGAGAGATTGGATTGCAAGATTTGGCGATAATGCCATGGCATAAAGAAGACACAGTAGCTATTCATATTTCAGAGGCACGAGCCCCGGAGGAAGAGATAAAGTATTAAATCTGATTAAATTATGAGAAAATAATCTGATGTTGAATTGCTGTTCAGGATGGGTAAGAGGTGGGAATGTTCTTGCAGAGAGGACAGTGTGAATTCCAGTATATGGGATGTTGTTCAAGTCTGAGATGTGCTTGCCCAAGCACAATCCTACTCTAACTCTCACGGGTTATCCTACTCTACAATTATTTGTTGTGGGACCTAGGCTTTGTACAGTGCTTTTATAGAATCATAGAAACATTTAGGTTGGAAAAGACCTTTAAGATCACTGAGTCCAACCATAAACCTCACACTGCCAAGTCCACTAAGAAACCATGTCCCTAAGTGCCACATCAACATGTATTTTAAATATTTCCAGGGATGGTGACTCCACCACTTCCCTGGGCAACCTGTTCCAATGATTGATAACCCTTTCAGTGAAGAAATTTTATAAGCAACTTCTACAAAGGAACATATTGTCATCATCTCCCTTAGACAAGTTGTGAAAAACAAGTAACAGGCATCCTTCTGTAAATGTTGGAAACAAAGGACAGGAAGATAATAACTATATTTTGCTTCAGATTTTGGACATTTAAAAGTCAAATGTGTGGGACTGAACTAGTCAACCAAGGCTATACAGTCCATGTAGAAATGGCAATTCCTGTACCCTGCATTGGACATCTCTCCTACTGTGAGACAAATCATGCCCTGGAGATGCCTCTTTCTCTCTTGGTGTAAGAGCATCTTGGAATGATTAGAAGAGACGTAGACATCTAAACTAAGGCAGATTAACTCCAGCCAACATGGCCACTCAATAGTTATCAGGAAGCATCATCTAATCTGAGTATTGAATATCAGTCTCTAGGGTCCCAGGCCTGTGCTCCTTCTTGAAGTCCATATTATTGCATATGCTGCTGTTAATTGCTATTTTAGGAATACAGTTGTTATTAAGTTCAGCTATATAATATCACATGTGGC